ACCCTTGAGCGCTAAGATGCCTTTTCGGTGTGGGGCGAGAGAATCTGAAGCAGATTTCGGGTTCAGGGTCAGCTTGTTTTATAGGGTTTTAGGGTTATTACATTTCGTGGCGGGTGTATAAGTTCGGGCTCCTTTTTAATTATTGGTCCCGGCACTCTGCCTCCTACCTTAGGTTGTTCAAGTTTGTTTTGGGCTTTTGTCTAGGGTTTTTGAAGGTCTCCTTAAGGTCTTTGTGGCACTTTGTGGGGCTTTAGGTTCTTAGGTTGCTTGCGCAGAGTTGGGGAGGGGGGGATACCGCGGTGAGTGGGTCGGTGGGTGGGTGGGTGGGTGTGGGAATACTGGTAGTTACAACCAGCTTCAGATATGCTGGTTTACGATTAATGTTAGCTCTTTGGTACTTATAAGGACGACCTTGACCTTTCAGCGCTATTGTTTGGCGCAAGGTTCACGACTTGTGACGACGGAGCCGTGGAAAGTTTGTTGTGCCAAGTCTTGGGGGGGTGAAGGCTTCCGCTCGGCTGGTGCAGCCCTAAGCCCGCAAAATTCGCTCGTTTTTAGGTTGCGGATGACCTCCGCGGTGTGCTGATGCTCGGCTCAGAAGCTTGATGTTTTGGTTCGGGTTTTTCTTGTTTTCTTTTGGGTTTATTGGCTTGCCCTAAACCCTAGCAGCTCCAGGTTTAGGGCAGTCGCGAGCTGGGGTCCTACCAGTATTTGGAAGTTTCATGGGTAGTTGTAAGCAAGATAACTCGGTTGGCTCCCTTATAAGTACCCCATGAACCTTCATGAATGCTGGGGTGTGGATCTGAATGACGGGCCCTTCTGATGGGACCTTACGCGATAAGGGTAGCTAAACCCAAAAACCTTAAACCGGGCTACAGGCAGCGTCGCTATGTTTGCCACTTGTACGTTCCAACCTTACTCAGGGTTCATCGGGTCATACTGCATTTTCGGGCTAAAGCATAGGCCTTTCTGGGTACCCGTATTTCACCCTAAGCCCTAAGCCAACATATGCTGCTTACCATCCAGTCATTCAAACTGATCAATTTCTCGTCACTTTGTAACCTGTGTGCCCAACCCCCATACACGTCCTAACCTAAACGCTCGAAGCGCGCAGCCCGGCAATGAGATGCGAGGAACGTGTGTGAGCCTCACACCACAGATCCATGACCCAAGCCTTATTCCCTTGGACCCAGGTTGCTGTCCCTGGCCTTCATGGAGTCCTTGACCATCTACGGCCTGGTGATTGCGCTGGTTGCTGGGCTGCACGCTGCTTCGGGGTCAGGGGTTAGTGGGGCGGGGCGGAGGGGCTGTCACAGGGCTTTTTGGGGCGTCTAAAGAGATTTGTATGGCTTACAGGGTTCACAGGCCATTGAAGGATTTCGGGGTTTTTGTCCACATCCTGGGGTCACGGCCCCTTAATCCTACCTCCTACACGACTTTATCTAAATAATGGCATATCACCAAAGATTGTTCCCTGATCTTGTGCTTCTATTTCTTGTATTACACACAGCTGCCCGCTTTGGCAATGGCATGGGTTGAGCCCCGACGAAATGAAGAACCTTCGCCTAGTCCACCCGGTGTGCGAGAACTTGCGGCCCACAAAAGACTGACCCACCTTAATTGCTATTGTTCGAAACTGTGCAATGTGTACAAAGACTTGGACACCATGTGGTTGCTCCCTTGTGGCACTCAAATGCGCAGAGTCATTTTCGTGGGAGCCTATTGCAGCTTTCAGTTAGCCGCGAAACCTTACACGCGTCTGCGCAGAGGCGACCTCTCTTCCCGACGTCACATTCGCAACAAAAAATGCCCAATATGACCAGCAGCGCAGCAAATTCAACTGATTCTCAACAAGGTTTGATCTTTCTTGATTCCTTACCAGTGTGCTACACCCGCATGCCGTGCAACAGCACGTTGACCATCATTCATTGAACGTGCAAGCTGTTCTCGTGTCAGACTAGAGGCAACAGACTTCGGATCGCGTTGCTCAAAATGCCCGGCCTTCATGCTGTAGGTTCACGTGGCTGAGTAGTTAGGCCTAGAAAACCCTGAGCCCTAAACCCCAAAAGGGAACCTAAGAAAGGCCAAGTAGGGGATTGGAGAGGGTCCCGAGCCCCGAGATCCCAAATTTTCGAGACTTAAGGGGCTTAGGGTTTTAGGGTTTAGGGTTTAGGGTCTGTAGAGGTGGGTCGTCCAGGATTGGGCCCCAAACGCTTCGTTGGGGTTTAAAGGAACTTTCATATGAGTAGTTTCCTAGGGTCCCTTTCGGAGCACCCATTATAAGGCGGGCACCCTTTAAAGAGGGATCCCAAGACGGGACCCTCGTTTCGAGAGCTTACCATATCGAAAAGCCACCCATGTGGTGCTCCCGCCATCCGAGGTGCTCCTCTTCGCGAACCCTCTGATCAAGTGAGCAAGTCGGCGATGCGGAGAAAGTTTTCCCAACTGTACAGGGTGGAGGGCAGCGGTTTGGCTAAGATGTGCGGCCCTCACCTCTGTAAGTCTGTCTTAATCTGAGATCCTAGCAGCACAGGACAACAGGCCATGATCGGCCATGCTTCAAGTAGTCTTGGGGCGAAGATGTGAATAGAAAGGCGAGCGCGGGCTCAGAAAAAAAGTGCGGTGGCCAAGATGCTTCCAAACTGTCGACCGCCCTATACTAGGATGCCCAGTAGTACCCTTATTCCCTTTTTGGGGGGTTTAGGTTCCCTTATAAACCCCTTTAAGCAAAAAGGGCACCTTTGTTAAGCCTAGGTTACTGGGCAGCCTAGTATAGTAAACCCTTTAAGCCCTCAAGCCCCAGTCCTAAACCGGAAGCCCCAAACCCCACAAACCCTAAACCTTTCGGAGGTTCGGGCTGCGAGTCTAAGGTTAGAAGGAGGAGGTCGTTCGGCTGTTGGTTGAGGGGTTTAGGGTTGCTTGGTGTTGTTGTTTGGGCGGTTTTTGGTTCAGGGATTGAGAGTTAAAGGTTTTTTTTTTTTTTGGGGGGGGGGGGATTAAGGGTTTGGGGGCTGAGAGCGCAAGGCTTTAAGGGTTTAGGGGTTGGGTTCAGGCTGCGGTTCTCGAGACACCCCTATAGGCCCCAAACCCGAATCACCCGAGTCACCTTGGAAATTGCAAGCATCCCATCCCATCCCGCCCGTCCTTGCCTTCATCCCCTTTCTTCCTTCTGGAGCTTCGATTTGCGTCTTTCCCCGGTTTGAGAAATGCGTTCTTTACGTGCCCTGAAGTCGTACTAGTACACGTGGCTTTTGAGTTTTCAGATAAGCATAGAGAGATCCTGAACCAGCGAGGCCCCAACTGCCGAGGCTCCGAGCATCTAGGGTGTCGGGGCTTTCGGCTTTTAGGGTCTTGAGGTATAGTGTTCTTGCGCGTGTGCTTTAGGGTGTGGTGCTCTGACCCCGGATGCCCTTTGGCCCAGCCGCTTCAGTTTGCCCGCCCACGTTGCTCAAGCTCCCTCTGAAGTTGTCACGATCCGCGGCTGCAGTTGGAGAGAAACCCTGATCCTGAAGCCCGGAGCAAACCCAAAGCTCTTTCAAGCCCAAACCCAGAACTGTTAGACCCTGAACTTTCAATCAAACCTCAGTTCCTAGTCCTGAAAATGCCCAAACTCTCACCATAAATGCACCCAAGACTCTTATACCATGAGCTTTTCATGCATAAACTTGCAGACCCTAGCTTCTCAACGACGGGCCCTACACCCTATCTCTCAGAGTAGTTGCATGGTCTCTTACTATGGCCCCCTTAAACGGGGACCCTTTTATACCCTGTACATATGTATATACACCCTAGACACTTCCCTTCGCACAAAGTTGAGCGTTTCGGGCTCAGGGTCCATGGTCTACGGGTTTAGGGCTCATGGTTTCTGTGCCCCAAACCCTGCAACCCTAAAGCCCCACAGCCCCTGAAGCCCTAAAAGCCCCTAAAAGCCCTAAACCCCCCGAAAAAAGCCCTAAGCCCTAAAACCCCTCAAGCCCCTAAACCCCTAAAAGCCCTAAAAGCCCTAAACCCTACACCCCCCCGGCTCGTGACCGACCCAGGATGGCCCGCTCCCTGATCTTCACCGGCGCCGTGCTCCTGTGCAGCGGCCGGGAGCCTACGATGCGGTCGGGTCTGTGGTTCTCAGTAGGGAAGGGGGGAATGTGATGAAGCCTTATTTCCCCCCTGTATGTACATATACATATATATATATATGTATGTATGTATGTATGTATATATATATATATATGTTTATTTATTTATTTATTTATTTATTTTTATTTATTTATTTATTTATTTATTTACATGCATACCTTTTTGGGGGTCGTAGGACAGGGCCCGTGATTTTTCGGGTTCAGGGTTTAGGGTTTAGGGGCTTCAGGGTTTGGGGTTTCGGGGTTTGTGTTTAGGGTCGAGAAGCCCAAAGCAGCACCCAAGAGTTGCTAATCAAGAGGATCAAATTTAGAAATGGTTTCTCAGACGGGTTTAGGGTTTAGGGTTTAGGGTTTAGGGTTTAGGGTTTAGGGTTTAGGGTGGTTGAAGGTCAGATTGGGCCAACCCGTCAGCGAAAACACCGGATGTTGCAGTGGAAAGCATCAAATCTCCAACGGCTTTTGAGTTGACAGGCGTAGGGGTTTGAGGGGTGTTTGCAGGTTCAGGGACGGCTGGACCCTAAACCCTAAACTTAAGCCCTCCCTAAACACTAGCCCTAAACCCTAAACCCTAAACCCTAGGGGCTTAGTTTTTGCTGGCCGGGGTGTGGGGCCTTCGTGGTAGGGTGATGTGACGAAACCCTAAAGGTCCTTAAAACAAAGTTCAAGCAACGCCCCAATGAACCCTAAAGCTCGGAACCCGAAGCGCCACCCTAAACCTTTAAAAACCCTAAACCCTAAACCCTAAACCCTTTACCCTTTACCCTTTACCCTTTAAACCCTAAACCCTATAAACCCTAAACCCTAAACCTGACAGGAGCCCTCTTCACGGCCTTCGTGGCCGCGCCGCGCGCGGCCCCCGCTCCGACGATGCCTCCTGCGGCCACTGCGGCCCTGAGCAGCCTGGGTGCACTTCACCTGGGTACCTAGGGTTTAGGGTTTGGGGTGTCGGGTTTAGGGGTTTGGGGTTTAGGGTTTAGGGATTAGATTTAGGGTTCAGGGCTTAGGGCTTTTCAGGGTTCAGGGTTTAGGGTTTAGGGCTTTTCAGGGTTTGGGGTACTGAGAGGGTTGTTTGAGGTTAAGGGCGTGAGGGTTTAGGGCTTTCGGGTTTCCAAAACCCAAACAGCCTAAAATGTCCTGAAGCCCTGAAGCCCAAGAACCCCAAAAGCCTGCAACCACTAAGCCCTAAAACCCCAAAGCCCCAAGACCCTAAAAGCCCAAAACCCTTGAACCCCTAACACCCCTAAAACCCCCCAAAACCCCTAAAACCCCTGAAACCCCTGAAACCCCTAAAACCGCTAAAACCCCTAAAACCTAAAAACCCTAAACCCTCTAACAACCCTCTAAAGCCCCTAAAGCCCTAAAACCAACCCTTCCTCCTCCGACCCGAAGCTGAGAGCCGTGCGAGGCGCCGTGACGCTGGTGGCACCTCAGGCGGCACATGCTGAGGCGGCCGGATCGGTATGGGACTCTTGGTGTCTGAGGGTTTTTTGAGGGTTTTTGGAGGGGTTTTTAAGGGATGTTTTCATTTTTTGTTTTTCGGTTTTTTCTAGGGTGTTTTAGGGGTCTGAGGGTTTTTAGGGATTTGGGTTTCTGGGGCCGTTGGGGTTGTTTCTAGGGTTTTAGGGTTGTTTTTGAAGGGTTTTAGGGCTTTAGGGGTTTTAAGGGTTTTCCAGGGCTTTTGGGGCTTAAAAGGGTCGTTTTGGGTTTTTCCGGGTCAAAGGCCTTTTTGGGTTTCGGGTGCGGGAGGTTTCGGGTTAAGCGTTCAGGGTTTCGGGGCGGGGGGGGGGGGGGTTCAGGGTTAAGGTGGTTTCGCTAAGGTATATTTCATGCGTGCTTTCTTTTCCTGACCCCAAGACCCTTGAAGACCCAAAGCCCTTATATAAACCCTACTGCCCGGAAGACATAAAACCTCGTAAACCTTAAGCCCGAAGCACAACCCTAAACCCGCCAACTTGCAACCCCCCCCCCCCCTTCCTGGACCTCATCCACGGGATGGCGACGTAGGGATCCCTATAAACACCTCTAAAAAGGATCCCTCTGGACCCTCCCTTCTACACTCCCAACCCCTTTGCGTAGGATGGCGCAGTGTGGATCCCGGCCCTCTCCGCCATTGGCGCCGGCTTCGCCATCGGCCTCGCCGCCATCGGCTCGGGTGTGGGCCAGGCTCCCCCCCCCCCCACCGCACGCGAATGTTTGGGGCTTATGGGTTTGCATGCTTGTGCGTTCAGGGTCGCACAGATTTCTAGGTCTATAGCTCTGTAGGTTTGTACTTCGCGGGTTTAGGGTTTGCAGCTGCACGTACCCTTCTTGGAGGTCCATGTTTCAAGGTTTATAGTATTTCGGGGTAAACCCCCCCCATTTTTAGAAATAGGCGTACCCTTTTGCGGGTTCTTATCTCAAGGATTATCGTGTTTTGTTGGCCCTTTAGGGGGTATTTCCCCTCCCCCCCCGCCGCAATTATCGGCAATATCCCTTCCACAGGGCATCGCCAGCGGCCGCTGCATTGACGGCATTTCTCGGCAGCCCGAGGCAAGCTGATAATTAGTGCTTTGCGGGGTTTACAGGGTTCACAGGGTTTATGGCTATGGTTTTGGGGGTTTATTTGGGGTTGGGGTTTTAGGTAGCTCATACACTGTGATAGTACCGGCTGATGCATCCGTCGGTTCTTGTGACTTCCGGCATTTTTTCTGAAACGCCTGTCCCCTGAAATCCGTGGGCTTCTACTGTAGTCGATGGTTTTGGGCCTGTTCAACGGGAATTTGCAAGGAAATCACAAGCAGGAACCCTAACAATGTAGGCTTTTTGGGCTACCGGTATATCGGGCTGGGGGTGTAGACCCTAGCATTTAGGGCCTAAGGCTTAATCCCTATAAATTCTCAGGGTTCAGGGCTGAGGGTTTAAACCCGTAAAGTCCCTGTACACCTAAACCGCAAGCCCTAAGCCTTAAGCCCTAAGCCCCAAACCCTAAACCCTAAACCCTAAACCCTAAACCCTAAACCCTAAACCCTAAACCCTACTAAACCCTAAACCTGAGGGTTAAAACCCCTAAAAACCCCACACGCCTCAACCCTAAAAACTTAAGGGCTTAGGGGGCTTCGGTCTTCGGAAGGTCGCGGATGACCTGCGGGGCGTGCTGCCGCTTGGCACCAGGGTGTTCTTCCCTCCTGGCCTTGTACAGTAGGACCCATCGTGGGCCCTCACTGCCCTTCTTTAGGGTTGGGGTTTTAGGTGAGTTTGGGGTTACAAGCCCGAAGCCCTGAAAGCCCACCTTAGCGGAAGAGAATGCAAAATTCTCCAAGCTTGGGGTTTAGGGTTTTCAGCCCCTAAAAGAAGAAGAGTTTCCTTTCTTTCCGAGGTGACCCTTTGATAGCTTGATGCCAACCTGCAACCCCTGCGTAGAGTAGCCCACTTTAAGGTGCAGGGTTTTCAGGGCGCACTTTGCGCCGTATACGCCCTCGACTTTCTTTAAGTGTTCAGAGGTATAGGGGGGTCCCGCGGGGGTTCAAGGGCTTCAGGGTTCAGGGCTATAGGGTTCAGGACCGCCAATAAGGGTTTAGGTTTAGGGTTTAGGGTTTAGGGCTTAGGGGGCTTTGCCCGTCTTCCAGGATGCCCTGCAAGAGCTCCAGGAGCCAAGCCTCATCGGCCGTCAGCCCTACACCGTAACATCCGAAAAACCGGGATTGGATACGAAGACCCTAAACCCGAAACCCTAAACCCTAAACCCTAAACCCTAAACCCTAAACCCTAAACCCTAAACCCTAAACCCTAAACCCTAAACCCTAAACCCTAAACCGGGAGTAAACCCGAAACCCTAAACCCTAAACCCGAAACCCTAGAGTGCAGCCCCGAGGCTGCTGTCCCTGGCCTTCATGGAGTCCCTGACCATCTACGGTCTTGTCATCGCTTTGGTGCCTGAAGCCGGCATTCGGCACGGTTTGGGGTTCACAGCAGGGGGGCTTCGAGGGGGTTCAGGGTTTAGGGTTTAGGGTTTAGGGTTTAGGGTTCAGGGAGCTCAGGTCACATGCAGCTGGACCTGAGGTTTAGGGTTTTAGGGGCTTTATCTGGCAGCAGCTGCGGACGATCCAAGTGGGTTTTGAGGTTTAGGGGGCTAATGCTGGGGCGCTCGTCCATTGGGGGGGCGTTCCCCCCATAAACCCGAACAAAGTCCTAAGCCCCAAGCCCCATGAACCCTCAGCCTAAACCAGTCCTAGATACACGCACCCCTGAATACTTCCGAACCCTAAACCCCAACCCTAAACCCTGAGCCCTTCACCCTGACAGCTCCATGGCGTTTTGAATGGGAACCCTCGCGGCCTGCAGGGGTTCCCGAAGTTTCGGAGCCCCTGCTTGGCGGTTTAGGGTTTGGGGTTTAGGGTTTCGGGGCGGGGGGAGAGAGGTCCTTCGAAGGGGAGTTCTACTGAGCATGTTTGGGTCCTAACATGTACTCATGTGGCCAGCTGAACCCTAAACCCTAAACCCTAAACCGAGCATGGTCTTTCTTGGGATCAAGGCCATAGTGCAGCCTTCCATGTCGGGTCTTCGGATCCTTGGGTTTGGGTAGGGCTTAGGGCTTAGGGCTTTGGGCTTTGGGCTTTGGGCTTTGGGCTTTGGGCTCAGGGCTCAGGGCTCAGGGCTCAGGGTTCAGGGTTTAGGGTTTAGGGTTTAGGGTTCTTAAACAACCTTTTTTGTCCACGGGTGAGTAGAAGGATGGAGCTTCTTCGAACCTGCACAACTACTCATGTGAGTAGATACCACAGGCTAGAATAATTACACGTGTCATTCCATGAAATCATGTTTCGATCGGCCCCTAAGCCCTAAAAGCTCAGTGCTTGTTCTAAGCACCGCAGGAGAACCTTGGTTGTTTCACTTGCGTTTGTGAATGCTTGAACATGCGTACAGAGAGACAGAGAGAAAGAAACATAAAGAGAAAGAGAGTGAGAGAGAGAAAAAGAGAGCCGCCATGAACCCTAGAGCCCTAAGGTTTAGGGTTTAGGGTTCAGGGTTTGAGTTTAGGGCTAACCCCAGTTCTTGTTCTTTCCAGGTGCTTCTCTTCGCGAACCCTCTGATCAAGTGAGAAGGACGTCGGGCAATCTGGAGGAAGTTTTCCTAAACCCTAAACCATGTTCAACCTTGCAAGCTGAGACCTTGCACCCTCAACCCCTCACACACGTCATGACAACACTTTAAGGCCCCCTAAGCCCTAAGCCCTCCCTAAACCCCAAACCCTAAACCCTAAACCCTAAACCCTAAACCCCCAGAAGCACTTCTCCAGCAGACAGGGCCGACCTGATGGCAACTGGCCCCCTGGTCATGTGATATGGAAGTCAGCAAGACGAGGAGAGCTTGCGCTCAGGTCAAAACCGGGGTACCCGGGTTTTAAGGTTTAAAGTGTACTGTGTTTAGAATAACATATTATTCATATGGTCAAAACCGGGGGTTAAGGTTTAAAGTGTACTCTATTTAGAATAACATATTATTTATTCATATACACGGGTTTCCAAAGGGCTTGAGGCACAACGCAGAAAAGGATAGTTGTCAACACAGTGGGGGTTGCTCTCCTACACCTCCTACACCCCAAGACCCCAAGCCTTCTAAAGCCACAATAGCACTGCAGACCGGCAGACCGGTTGTTGCTTTGTTGAAGTCGCAAAACGCCCACTTGAAGTAGGGCTTCATTACTGGCACTTCGTTATTCATATTCCCAAGAGGACATCTCGTACACTCACCTCTATCCTGCGGGCCTACAACCCCAAACCCCACGCCTCCAATTCCTGTTTAAAACGCTTGAAGCCTTAAAGACCATGGGCCACCATAGGTCCAGAATTCTTAGGGAGTCTTACAGACCCCTTTCGGCAAGGTTGGCTGCAGGCCCGTACGAGCCTAAGCCCTCGTGGGATTGAGGGTTCAGGGTATATGGGGTCCAGAGGTGTCTAGGGATTGTAAGCGACGCTTTGTGGGTTGTCCCACGTTCTGGCCCCAAAACCCCAAACCCTAAACCGCAGGGCAACCAATGTGGGCTCCCGTGTCAACCCCATGAAGCAACACGAAAGGGTAACAAATGATGCCCAAACTGTGACCTTGCTACCTGTACAGGTCTGAAAACGTATAAACCCAAAGTACGTACCCTAAACCCTTGAAGCCCTAAACCCTAAGTACCCTAAGCGTAACCTAAGAGTACCCTAAGAGTACCCTCAGTACCTAAGAGTACCCTAAGAACCCTAAACCCTAAACCCTAAACCCTAAACCCTAAACCCTAAACCCTAAACCCTAAACCCTAAACCCTAAACCCTAAACCCTAAACCCTAACCTATAGTAGAGCAATCGTGTGGCCTGCGCTGCCATCTCTCGCTCAGCTCTTATTTGCCCGCCTCGTCACTCACTTCTGCCCCTAGAAAGCTATCACGATGCATGGCCGCAGAGTCCAGGGTAGGGATTTAGGGGTTCTGGGTGAAGAGATTTAGGGTTTAGGGATCCAGGGATTTAGGGTTTAGGGTTTAGGGTTTAGTTAGGGTTTAGGGCCTTAGGGTTTAGGGGTTTAGGGACGGAAGTGCTCTCCCCCACAGCTTGAAACCACGCACCGTGAGTAAGCCAAAGGGTTTTGCATACATCACCTTGAATGCCCCAAATGCCCCGAAACCACAATCCCTGACTTCCTAAACCCGACCTTAAGGACCCCCCCCAACGACAAAAAAGCAAGCACACGCACACACACATACATATATATATATATATACACACATACATCTACATATACATATTACATATGTATATACATCTACATATACACATACATTTACAAATATATATATATATATATGTACATGTAACTGTATATGTACGTATATAATGTATGATAGTAAAATAAGCACGTCTACTCTAAACCCTAGTCTCAAAGCCCTAGACTCTCGAGCTCCAAAACCCGAATCCCTCCACAAGAATCCCAAATCCCCAAACCCCAAGAAACCTAAACTTTTTCCCTACTTCCAGCTTCATCATGGTACCACTAAGGCACCCCTACGTAGAACCTTGACTTAAAGTACACGCAGCCCTACATCACACCATCAGCCTTCAAGTAATCCCGGACAGCTCCCCAGCTCCAACAAAAGCCCTCACCTCGCAACACCTTAACGCGAAAGTTAGGGGTTTGGGTTTCGGGTTTTGGGTCTAGGGTCCCCCGAAAACCCTGAACCACCAAACCCTGCGGCCTCAGCTAACCCGCGATCCTGAAATTCTCCCATTCCGACCCTATAGGACTTTCTTTGAATGCTCTCGATTTAGCCCTATAAACCCTAAATTTTTAAATGAAGATACGAAAATTTCTGAGGATGGCCCGCTCCATGGTTTTGACTGGCGCCGTGCTCCTGTGCAGCGGTGGGGACCTGAGCCACCTGAGAAGGGGTTTTGGGTTTAGGGTTTAGGGTTTAGGGTTTAGGGTTTCAGGTTTGGGGTTTAGGGTTGAGGATTTAGGCTTTCTGGGGTTCAGGGTTACGGCTTTCGCTGGGGAATAATTAGCTACCCGTGAGCCTTCAAATCAAAGCCTTAAGCCTCACAAGCCTAAACCCTACCCCCTCCCCCCTCCCCCTCCCCCCGCTTTGGGGTAATTAGGGTCGAAACCCTAAACTCTTTAGACGCCTAAGCCTAAAGCTTAAACTCTTAAACTTAAACATATCCCGAACAAGCCCTTGCCAAAAGCACGAAAAAAAACTTCAGAGCAATGCTTAACCCGTGGAAGATGCGCTCTGCACTCTGAACCCGAAACCCTGAAACCCCCAAACTGAGCCCTGAGCCCTACACGTGAAGCCCTGAGCCCTGAACCCGAAACCTGAAGCCCTGAACCCCTAAACCCTAAACCCTAAGCCGCAAACCCCTACAACCCCCAAGCCCGGAACCCTAAACCCTAAACCCTAAACCCTAAATCCTGAACCCCCCCTAAGGTGCGCTCTTCACGGCCTTCGTTGCTGCGCCCCGCGCGTCGCCAGCTCCGGTCGCGCCGCACGCCGCCACCGCGGCCCTGAGCGACCTGGTTTAGGGTTTAGGGTTCAGGGTTCAGGGTTTAGGGTTCAGGGTTCAGGGTTTAGGGTTCAGGGTTCAGGGTGCAGGGTTTAGGGTTTAATTAGAGTTTAGGGATTTTTGGATTTAGGTTTAGGGTCTTTGGATTAGGGTTTCGGGTTTAGGGTTTATAGGGTTTAGGGATTAGGGTTTAGGGTTTATAGGGTTTAGGAAATTAGGGATTAGGGATTTCGGGATTTAGGTGTTTAGGGCTTTGGGATGTTGGGATTTAGGTGCTTAGGGTTTAGGGGTTTAGGGATTAGAGATTTAGGGTTTGGGTTTAGGGGTTTAGGGTTTTGGGGTTTAGGGGCTTGGGGGTTCAGGGTTTAGGGTTTAGGGTTTTGGGGTTTATGGATTCAGGGGTTCAAGGTTTAGGGATTTCGGGGTTCAGGTTTTAGGGATTTAGGTGTTTTGGGTTTAGGGTTTAGGGATTTAGCGGTTTAGGGTTTAGGGCTTTGGGGGGTGTAGGCATCTAGGGTTGCAGGGAGTTGCGGTTTAGGGCTTAGAGCACCATAGATTGGGAACAGGCACCTACAGTCTCAGTACTTTCATTGGCTTGCATGCAGCTATCAGTAGGTTTCTAAGTACAACATAGGTACCCCAAGCCATAGCCAGTAGGGTGTGCCTATACTTTCAACATTAACCCCAAACAAATAAACCCTGAAACCCTTAAACCCCAAATCCTAAGCCCCTAAACCCTGGACGCCCTCCTTCATTTTGACTACGGAAACTCTCCCTATACGGCCCAAGTCCGGGGTTTGCGGTCTGGCTGTCACGGATTGAATGTTCAGGTGGTGGTTCTAGATTTGCGCCGGAAGCCTAGCCGCGCACACGCCAGGTCATCTTGTGGTAGAGCAGGTTAGGGTTTAGGGTCTAGGGTTTAGGGTTTGGGGATTAGGATTTATGGTTTAGGGTTTAGGGCGCCCTAAACCTGAAACACTACACCATGAAGCATGGTACAGGGCCATGGTTGCATGGCGTGCTGTGCCTAAAGCCTTAAGCACAAGACTTGCCTTACCTACGAGTAGTTTTTGAATCTGCGCCCCGAAGCAAGAACCTTCAAGTTCCCACCCTTAACGGCCTGCCATGTCGATCGGAGCGATGAGAAACCCTGAGCCATAAACCCTAACTCAAGGGCTAAGGGTTGTTCAGGGCACTTTCAAGGCCTGCCTGGAGGATCATAGTGTTGAGAGGGGTCTCGGTCTTAGTGGTCTGCACGCGGGTTTCCGGATTTTGGGGGGGTCAGAGGGGTTTCGGGTTGAGTCCACAGTTTAGGGCTTGAGAGTAAGACTGCCTCAGGTGCCATTACGCTGGTTGCGCCTGAGGCAGCACATGCCGAGGCGCATATCTACCGCTTATAAGTCCCTTGAAGAAGCTGGGGGCAAGTCTAGATAAGACCCTGACAGTTTCTGAACCTTCAAGCTAAAGTTCGGGGTTTAATTGGTTTGGCGTTTTGGGTCTAGGGCTCCATGTGGTCAACATCCGCCGGGGCGACAAGCCTACAACGAACCCCTTACCCAAGCCCTAAAGATCGAAATCCCAAAGCCTCAGCCCTGTAAACTTCGTGCCCCAAACCGTATTTCCTCAACCCTGCGCCTTGGCGCAAGGATGGTGCCGTGTGGATCCCGGCACTCTCCGCCATCGGTGCCGGCTTCGCCATCGGCCTCGCCGCCATCGGCTCGGGCGTGGGCCAGGCCATGAAGTCTTTTGTCATGGTGTTAGGATGTGGGGGCGATTTAGGGTCCCAGGGACATTGTCCCTCATGCTTATCCGGTAAGGTGGTGAATGATTTGAGAGTATGCCTTGCAAGAGAACGTGGGTTCTCCTGGTTCAGAGGTAGCCTGAGTTGAAACTGGCTATAATCTTCTGTCGGCCCATGAGCCTTTCAAGCAACGCCCCAGCTGCCCCTAAAACCCCGATCCTACACCTGCTTATAGCTACCATGGGTCTTCAATTCATACCCGACGACGTGTCTAGCAGCAGCCCTAAACAGGCGTCTAGGCTGTAGTTTCAAGATGATATGTTTTCCAATCTAAATTTCCTGAACCTGGTCGGGTTTAGGCTTTCTTGTGCCCTAAGCCTGAAGCCCGCCCTAATTAAGCCCTAAAGGTTTTTTTTGCGATGGGGAATCAAGTGCAGGGATGAAGGCATGAGCACAGAGCGACGACATCTTGCAAAAACTGGCACCCAAACCAAAAACGTGACTGGGGGGTTGAGGGGGATAGGAGGTTTGGAAACCTACTTAGTTCACATGGGCATCTTTAAGCATAGGTAGGGTTTAGGGTTTCGCGTGTTTTGGGTCAGACAGTTATGACTGTACTCAGGCTTCTTGCAGCCCGCTCTGGAGCCAAACTTCCGCCCTTGAACTTCCACACTACATCGTTCTGTCCAGTTGAACAGGACCTCGAACCTCACGCAGAACAACCCCGAAGCAGGGTTCAGGGTTTAGGTTTCAGAAGGGCCTGAACCCTCAACCCTCAACCCTCGACCCTAAACCCAAACCCCAAACCCCAAACCCCAAACCCCAAACCCCAAACCCCAAACCCCAAACCCCAAACCCTAAACCCTAAACCCTAAACCCTAAACCCTAAACCCTAAACCCTAAACCCTAAACCCCAAGTCCGAAACCCTGAGAAACCTGCGAGGGCATTGCCAGCGGCCGCTGCATTGATGGCATCTCCCGGCAGCCGGAGGCGGACTTTGGAGCAGAGCTTGGGCTCCTCTAGTATTAGGGTTAAAGGGCTTATAGGGTTTAGGGTTTAGGTTTTAGGGTTTAGGGTCTAGGGTCTAAGGTTTTGGGTAAGGAAGCCCCCAATGGGTCAAAGTAATGATTCGAGCTGGCGCCTCGCTGGATGACTCGTGCGCCCGAGGTTCGGACTTGCTAACACGCAAGGCGCTGGCGTTCAGAGCGTGAGGAGGGTTTTTTCCCGAAGGTGCAGACGTATGCAATCACGGGCAACCCTTCCAACGGGATTCCGGATATACGGACCCGCCAACGTGCACATGAGTTTGTAGGTTTGAAGCTTGAAGTTTATCCCAAAAGCCGGAAATAATGCCCCAATATGCACCCCCCCTACCCGCGCACCCCTGACGTCATATTCCCAACTTGCCGTTCTTAGCAGAGAATTTGAGAAGAAGGTTCCCTGGGCTCAGGTATCCACCCCAGGGTCCGGGGGGGGGGGGGGGGGGAACGGCCCGAAAGCCTAGGGTTTAGGGTTTAGGGTTTGGGGTTTAGGGTTCTCATGACTTCGAGCAGGTTGCCGATGACCTTCGTGGCGTGCTGACACTTGGCAGAATCCCGCTTTTGATTGGGGCTTAGGGCTTAGGGTCCACGCCTTACTGGTTTCCGCTTGGGTTCAAGACAAGGGTTAGGAGCTGCGACGCACTTATGGCCTACCAGTTTTTCAGGGTAAGCCCTGTATAAACTAAATTCTGAAGCCTTAAACCGTAAGGCCTAAAACCTAAGCCCCGCCGTCCTGAGCCCTACAACTCTAAAGCCCCGGACTACAATACTGCTACTGCGTTGCGCGTTGCTGTATTAGCATGTTACCATGTACCAGTATCTACTCTACTGCACTATAACGCGCCATAAGATACTGCCATTTTACAAAACACACTCTGCGCAAAACATATACCCTCGTGGGGAGCGAGTCTTCGCTGGACTTTCATGTGCAAATCCGGTGGAGGCTCCCGGGGGGGGAACGGTTGGAGAGTTTCGCGATTCCTAGAGAGACCAGTTCACGGTTTAGTGTTTAGTTACGTTGTTTGTTTCTTTGTCTGTTTGTGTGTTTGTCTTCTTGTGGGTGTGTGTCTCTGTGTGTGTGTGTGTGTGTGTGTTTTTTTTTTTTGTATTTGTATTTGTTCTGGGGAGGGGGAACCCCTAAACCCTAAACCCTAAACCCTAAACCCAAAACCCAAAAACCCTAAACCCTAAACCCTAAACCCTAAACCGGGGGGGGGGGGGGGAAGTGAATCGTTTTTTGTTGGGGACAGGCTTTTGTGGGGGAGGGGGGGTTGCGAGGCCGAAGCCTTAGGAGTGAAGGGGAATCATTAGGGTTTAGGGTTTAGGGAGCCGCTTAAGCCCCAAGGCTGCTGTCCCTCGCCTTCATGGAGTCCTTGACCATCTACGGCCTGGTGATTGCGTTGGTCCCGGCCCAAGGACAGCAAGGAAGCGAGGGGTTTAGCACAGTGGTTGGGGTTTATGTAGGGGGTTCGGGTCAGAGTCACCCGAATCAAAACCTGTCATGAACCCGAAGCTCCCTAAGCCCGACGCGCGAAACCCCGGCTGGGCTAAGAAACCATCCGACACCCTGAAGCCCGAGCCTAAACCCTAAGCCCAAGGTGCTGCTCTTCGCAAACCCACTGATCAAGTGAGCAAGACGTTGGCGACACGGGCAGTTTCCGAGAGTGGTTTTGGAGATTCCCTTTTCCCTTCCTTTCTAGACGTAGTTCTCTGCCAGGTAGTAGCTAGCCAGGACTCCTCGTAATCCCAAAGCCCTGGAGACATGGCCCTAAGCCCTGAGCCCTAAACCGAATCCCTTTACCCTGTGTCATCCTGTCTTACTTACTTCATCCTAAACCCTAAATCCTAAACCCTAAACCCTAACCCTACTCTAGAACTCTCGGAAAACACCCATCCTCGCAGTTCTCCAGCGACCAGGGCGCTTCAAGCCCTATCAACCTCAAACTCCATCAACACCGTCTGAAGCCTGAGATCCCTACGGGTTGAGGTTTCAAGTTTAGGGTTTTTGGTGAAGCTTTGAAAAAAGCACCTGAAACTCCGACATCCCCTAAGAACCCCAAAGCCCTAAACCCCGAACAACCCAAAGCCCGAACAGCCCTAAACCCCAAACCATAAACACCCTAAACCCCAAACCATACCTTGTAATCCCCGAAACCCTAGGCTTAGGGCACCCGCCAAGAGCCGGAACCACCCCCAACGCCGACCAAAAGCACGGCACCCGTAAACCTTAAGCCCCAAAGCCCGAAAGCCCTACAGAAGCTACAGGGTTTAGGGTTTAGGGTTTAGGGTTTAGGGTTTAGGGTTTAGGGTTTAGGGTGGTTTAGGGTTTAGGGTTTAGGGTTTAGGGTTTAGGGTTTAGGGTTGCGCGGATGAGGTTTTTCAAAGGCGGCTTGGATAGGTTCTGAGGTCTTTTGGGTGTCTATAGGGTTTGAAGCATGTAGACTGTAGTGCTTGGTATTCAAGGCATCCGTGCTTACTTTCAGGTTCGTGGATTCTTGCGAGGCAGGGCTATACGTAGGGTAGCCCGACCGTATATTTATGACTATCCATGAGTCATGAGCTTCAAACCCGCAGATGCGGTGCACAAGACCTGGTCGACAGAGCGTTTACAAAACTTTGCTAGGAAGCAGTGATGCTGAGGATGGAGAGCTCGCGCTCTGAAAAGCCCGAGATTTAGGGTTTCAGGCCCAAACCCCAAGCCCCAAGCCCTCTAAAGCCTGAAATCCCTAAGCCGAAACCCCTAAAGCCCTGAACCCTGCAACGCGCAGATCGTGCTTGGAGGTTCATGGGCAGTCATATCTGCGGTTAGAAGTACGGTGTGGCCATAGTTGCAGCTGACTGCAACCCTCAAACCCTATAAACTCGCCCACCACCCTCGCACATCCCTTGCGGCAGGCGGGCGCCGTCGAGCGCTCAGCGAGACCACGGCAGGCTCTGCTGGAGCTGCAAACTGAGTCGCTGAGGGTTTGCCTAAAGCTTGGTCGCCGAAGCTCCGTCTCAGAGGTCCCTGAACCCTAAACCTTGGCAGCCCAGTGGTGCCCTTGAGCCTTTTTTTTGGGTTCTGGTTCCCCTTATAAAATAACCAACCCCAAAAAAGGGGTGCCCTTATTATGAGAATCCTGAGCCCCTATATGCCTTAAGCCCTATAACCACCAGCGAGGACTCCTGTGCCACTTTGGCGGCCCTGGAGACTATGAGAGCCCCTATAGGCATCTAGGCTCAGGGCCCGGAGGCCCCAGAAACCTCTGCAGGCAGATTTCCCTTAAGTTCCACTTGACTTCCAGAAAATTAGCCACCCGGATACGGCTCTGACCCCAAGATTCTTCCATGAAAAACGCCTCTCGACCTGGCCGAAGAACTTAAACTTGATTTTTCTCCCGAAAACCTTCGTTTCCTAAAGGAATCTAGTACCTAGGACACCTATAAACACCCTTAAACCACAAAGGGGTCACCTCGCCCCCCCAACTCCCCAAATTGCCCCCAAAGTAAACTGTAAAAATAGCGCCTGAAAGCCCTAAAACGCACGACCCTGAAGCAAGGCAACTTACGAGCCATTAAACTTCGGATCCTCTAAGGAACGCTGGGAAGTTCACTTGGGGCCTTAGCAATGGAAGCTCCCCTGCGTTTTAGCATTGAGGGCTCAGGGCTAACATCTGAAGTTGAGGCCGCAAGGGCTCAACCTCGGCAGCTGGACGCGCTTTGATTCCGGCATCCACACTCAATCTTCCCGTTGCTGGAGGCTTTGAGCACCCCTGACTTGCCAAAAGCCTACACCCACCAACCCTGAGCCCTGGGGCCTCCAACCCCTTCATCTCTAAACCCAGCTGTTAGACCCTAGACCCTCAAGCCTAGACCCTAAACCATAAACCATAAACCTAAACCCTAAACCCTAAACCCTAAACCCTAAACCCTAAACCCTAAACCCTAAACCCTAAACCCTAAACCCTAAACCCTAAACCCTAAACCCTAAACCCTAAACCCTAAACCCTAAACCCTAGGGGGCTTGAGGGCTTGACACACAGCGCCATGCGGCGCTTCGAAAGCTCCTGGACGTCGTCGCGGCATGGCTGACGAGCCGCGAGCCCAGTGACGGTTTAGGGTTTGGGGTTTGGGGTTTAGGGTTTAGGGTTTAGGGTTTAGGGTTCCCATCAGGGCTTCGGTCCCTATTAGCCCGTTAGGGCTTAGGGTTTACAAGGTTTTAAGCCCTTAAGCCCCTCAAACCCTGAAACACAACAACAATAACAACAACACGCACCCCAAGCGCTGCTAGGGGTTTGGGGCCTGAGAAGCCTCTCAGGACTTGGGGTTCTGGGGCTTAAAGGCTTCCCCGAAATCCTTAAACCCCATACAGACCCCACGTTCATCAAGCCCTAAACCCCTAATCTCCCTGAAGCCCTATCACGCAAACCCCCCTTTTATTCCCGAAAAACCCTGAAAACCCTAAACCCTAAACCGTAGTCCCAACCAAAAACTTCGAACGACCGCACAAGGATCCCTGGCTCCACGGCTGCTCTGGTCCGTTTGGTGGACAGGAGCGGTTTGGGGGTTTCTAGGGTGTTTTAGTAGGGGTTTGTAGGAGCTTGTAGGGTTTTATAGCGGCTTATGGTGGTTTATAGGGTTTAGGGCTTGGGGTTTATAAGGTCGAGGATTGTAAGAGCTAGAAGGCTTCAAGCTTGAAGGTTTACGGGGGTTAGTTTTTAGGATCTATTGTTGAAGGCTGAGGGTGGGCTTAGGTCTTGCTGGGTTGAGACTTCTGGTTCTTGAAGATTAGGAGGTGCCTGAGCAGAAGCCCGTTGAACAGGAACATTCCACAGCAACTGTCGCACCATTCTCATTCTTTTGGCTTGGGTTTACGGAAGGGCTTTCGAGTTTTCCTGGCCATCGAAGGGCTCATATATAGTCAAAATGCAAATTGCGAAGCAGTTTAAGGTTTAGGGCGTAGGTCTAGTGGATCTGAGTTGTCGATCGCCCGGAAGCAGGGATCTGGTCTCTTCCAAGCTGTCTTAGATCTGAGAGCCGCGTTTGTTGCAGGATTGCACGCCTTACCCGGCATGACGAAGCAGCTTTCCCAGCATAGTGATGGGACACACGAAAGTGACGCACCCCGACACTGCAGCTCCACCGTCGCCTTAGGCCCACAGCCCCTCATAGCCCTTCAAGCACAAAGCCTCTGAACCCCAGAACCCCAACCCCTCAACCCGAAACCTCAAAGCAAATAACTCGAGCCCTAGCAACCCTGAACTGCACACCCTAAGTCCCAAGGCCTAAGCTCTAAACCCAAACCCAAACCCTGAACCCTAGGCCACTTAAGCCCCCTGATCCTAAGTCCCTACTTGGGTTTGATGGTTTAGGGTGTAGGATTTAAGGTTTAGGGTAAAGAATGTAGGGTTGAGGGTGTAGGGTTTAGGAGTTAGGGTTCAGGGTTTAGGCATATCAAAGGCTTGTTTCTCGCAATGGTTAAGTCACTTGCTTCCCTGTGATGTCTAGAACCCCCAGTGGTAGCAGACCCTAAATCCGGGGACTTAAAAGCACTTGTTTATCAATATGAAAAGTTTTTCGTATATATATATATATATACATTCATATGCACACACACACACATTTTTGTTCAGAGGCGTACGATAAACCCTGTAGGCATCGGGGGTTAAGGTTCTTTGTTCAAGGGTTTGGGGGTTAAGGTGAGGGTTCAGGGTTCCCTAAACCTGAACCCTAAGCATAAGCCCAAAACCCTAAACACCCTAAACCCTATAAACCCTATAAACCCTATAAACCCTATAAACCCTATAACCCTAGAACCCTAGAACCCTGGAACCCTAGAACCCTAAACCCTATAACCCTAAAGCCTCAGATTTTGTTGCCGGATGAGGTGTCTGCTGTGTTGGCGGCCATGGACGTGGAGTCGCTCCACCACCGCGCGACCGAGGCCCGGAGAAGTGCTCTGCAGGCTCTGAATCGAGGGCTTAGGGTTTATGGGTTTAGGGGTTTAGGGTTTGGGGTTTAGGGGTTCAGGGTTTGGGGTTTGGGATTTAGGGTTTAGGGTTTACTTTGGTATGTAGGGACTAGACGTGATATATATATATATATATATATAATATATATATATATATATATATGTATATATATATATATATGTGTGTGGGGGTTATTTGGGGGAACAAGATTAAGGGTGCCTTCTAGGGGTCCCTGCTTATGCCCCTTTAGCTCTGCACGAACACAACCTTGACCCCAAACAGCTGCACCCCATGAGCCCGAAAAGCCTGGGCCCTAAACGCACCAAACCCCCAACCCCGCAACAAGCCCTTCAACCGCGAGTAAATCTCTTTAGCCGCCTTGAACGCTCGTGCAAAAAAAAACCAGCCCCAAATCCCTAAACCCTAAACCGTAACCCTAACCCTAAACCCTAACCACTCCCCCCTTTAAACCCCCCACACAAAACACTGCAAGGCTGCCCAAACCCTGGCGTTGTGCGCCGAGCACGAGGCCACCGCGGCGCACAGGCTTCCGATCAGGGCGGGGGGGTATTGGGTTAGGGGTTTTTAGGGTTTACAGGTTTAGGGTTTAGGGTTTAGGGTTTAGGGTTTAGGGTTTAGGGGGGTTTAGAGTTTAGTTGTAGGAATGTTACCAGGTTTTG